CCAAACGCTATCTTGAGACGGCGAAGAAGATTGAGACCATGCTGCCGCACCTAGAGGCCCTGAGCTGCGAGGTCAAAGAGGCAGACAAGGAGTTTCAGATCCAGAGGACCGAGCGCGAGGAGAAAAGACGAGCGCTGGAGACGATTAAAAAGACTTTCGATGAGGTACCCGTGCCCTCCCTCACATCTCCCGCAGCATCAACAGGCAGTGTGCCGAAAACAACGTCGAGGTCAGATCCAGAGCCGCCTCCTGGCCGCAAAGGCAGTCTTGTACCCATGTTTCAAAGCACAGTCATGCCGCCCCAGACTATCTCATCTACAAGCATTCCCTCATCCATAGCGTTACCGCAGAGCCCCGAGGCTACCAAGGCGAGCCTGGCCATGGCGGCCCCGCAGCCGGACAAGTTCAAGGGAATCAGAGATCTCGAAGAAAAGGACCCCGCTGCAATGGCCGAAGCTGGTTCGGGTGCGCACCGCAAGGAAGGTCTTCTGTGGGCCCTCAGCAGGCCCGGAAGCCATGTGGATCCCAAGGGCTTGAACAAGCAAGCCTGGCATAAGTAGGTATAGCCTCTTTCAGTCGGAAGCCTGCTGACATTATCCAGGTTCTGGATCGTCCTTGATCAGGGGAGGCTTTCAGAGTACACCAACTGGAAGCAGAGTCTAGAGCTGCACATGGAACCAATCGACCTCCGCATGGCCTCAGTAAGGGAAGCGCGCAACGCAGATCGCCGGTTTTGCTTCGAAGTCATCACCCCCCAATACACGCGAGTGTACCAGGCAACCAATGAAGAAGACATGAAGTCGTGGATCAGTGCAGTCAACAATGCTTTGCAGACAGCTGTTGAGGCGACAGGAAAATCGGATCGGCCATCAACAGACTCGCTGCCTGGACAGACGCACCGAGATATTGCATCAGTGCTCACGGGTAAGAGTCCATCAATGTCAAGTCATCGAAACACGTACGGCTCCAAGGCACCGGCGCGGCATGCCACAGTAGGTGATCGACCTGGCGGATACCGGCGAGAGGAGGCGTTTGGCGATGAAGGTAAGCTGCTTAAGCAGGTAAGAGACGCGGATTCCAGCAACAAAATGTGCGCAGATTGCGGTACGGAGATCAAGGTGGACTGGGTTTCCATCAACCTCGGCATCATCATTTGTATCGAATGCAGTGGCATACATCGGTCACTCGGCACCCACATTACAAAGGTGCGTTCTTTGACTCTGGATGTCACGTCCTTCACTCCCGATATCATCGAGATACTGCTCAAGATCGGCAACCGCGTCAGCAATTCCATCTGGGAAGCAAGATTGGAACCCGGGCTGAAGCCGGGGCCAATGTCGACAAGAGAGCAAAGGCTACATTTCATTACTTCAAAGTACGCCGATCGGACCTACGTAGCACCCATAACACCGAACATGTCCCACTACGCAAATCCAGAGGAGACGCTTCTAGCGTCGGTTAAGAAGAACGACATTCAGAACGTGCTCTACGCTCTAGCTCTGAGGGCAAATGCAAACGCACGCGACCGATCACGAGGCACACACGCCGTGTTTCTAGCGCTTGCAGCCGCCGACCCAGCATCTCCTTCAGCGACGGCATCACCAGCAAGCTCGCCAAGCTCAGCGGCTCGCCCAGGCACAGCGCAGCCTAGCCGCAAAGCGTTCCCCGTAGCGGAGCTGCTGCTGCAAAACGGGGCCGAGCTGCCAATGCTGCCAGCGCCCATTCCCCTCGGCCACTCGGCACGAAGCTATCTTGACTTCAAGGCAGAGCAGCGTGCTGGCAAGCGGCCGGCACCCATGGTGGGCAGTCAGGCCGTACCCAGCGCAGAGAAGGCTCCGTCTTTGCCGCCCATCATGGCGGGCAACGGCAGCTCTCCGTCGGAACGAGCGCGCGAACGGGATGCGCGGCTGCAAAAGCGAGTCTCGGCGAGCGGAAGGTTGGTCAAGACTCCGAACGTCGACTTGAGTGAAGGTAAGCGCGGCTCGTAGAGCTAGCCGATGCTTACATGTTGTGTCTTGCTGTAGTGTCTACCTTCCCTGGGCGGCGTGCGGCCTGGTGCGATGGGCGTCAACGGGCTGAGGGTGTCCTGGTGCATGTGACGAGACGAATGGGGGCAATCTAGTGCACGTTGGATCAGGCGCATTGCGGTTGTGTTGAATAGACCATGTTTCGCGGGCGGCAACTGGTTTTGTTTGGGCGTGTTGTGTGTGTACTGTAGTGTAATGAGTAATTCACGACGTGGCCAGCCTGCAAGCCAGACGGGCGTGACTGTGGTGAAGTGTTGGCGCGGACCTCGCATGGAGCTAACGGGCCCGTGGACCCCACTCGAGGGCTAGCGCGCACCAAAATTACCTGGGTCGCAAAGTTATCCAAACCGCACCCCGCCGCTGTATTGTAACTACGACCGCAACCATCACCGCAACCATCACCGCAACCATGGCCTCGGCATACTCGAACCTGCCCATGGACGGCGACGACGAATTCGACGAGAGCCAGATCGACTTTACCGACATCGAAGATCAGTTCCAGGTGCGGCTCGACGAGGGGCTCGACGCCTTTGTCGTCATCGACGGGCTGCCCGTGGTGCCCGAGGACAGCAAGGCCAAGCTCGTCAAGTTTGTGCTGAGGAAGCTCAACAGCGTGGGCAAGGTCAAGGACGACGGCGTGCACATGCCCGTCGGCGAGGCGGGCAAGACGGAGGGATATGCCTTTGTCGAATACAGCGCGCCCGCCGAGGCCGTCGCGGCGGTCAAGCAGCTCAACGGGACTGCCCTCGACAAGAGGCACACCATGGCCGTCAACAAGCTCACCGACATCGACCGCTACGGCAAGGAGGGCCGCATCGACGACGAGTACCACGCCCCCGAGATCCCGCCCTTTGAGCACAAGGAGCACCTGCGCTGGTGGCTCGGCGACCCCGACAGCCGCGACCAAATGGCCATGTACCGCCAGGATAAGGTCGGCGTCTTCTGGAACGACAAGGAGGACCAGCCCGAGCAAGTGGTCGACCGCGAGAACTGGACCGAGTCCTTCATCCAGTGGTCGCCCCAGGGAACCTACCTCACCTCCATGCACGCCCAAGGTGTCCAGCTGTGGGGCGGCAAGGCCTGGAGCCGCCAGAAGCGCTTCGCCCATCCCGGCGTCAACCTCGTCGACTTCTCCCCCAGCGAAAAGTACCTCACCACCTGGTCCCACCGCCCCCTCCAGGTCGACGAGAACCACCCCGTCCCATCGCTCTCGCTCGAGGAGGACGGCAAAAACTACATCATCTGGGACATTGCCACGGGCAAGCCTCTGCGCTCCTTTGCTACCATTGACGTCCCTGGCGGCATCGATGCCGAGGGCAACCCGGTCAAGAAGAAGCTGCAATGGCCGACGTTCAAGTGGTCCTCTGACGACAAGTATGTTGCACGCATGACCCAGGGCCAGTCCATCTCCATCTACGAGCTGCCGCGCATGAACTTGCTCGACAAGACTTCCGTCAAGATCGAGGGCGTCATGGACTTTGAGTGGGCCCCCGCAACGCCCCGCAGAGAAGGCATCAAGACGTACGAGCAGCTCTTCTGCTACTGGACCCCCGAGCTCGGGAGCAACCCCGCCAAGGTCGGCCTCATGTCCGTCCCGTCGAAGGAGATTGTGCGCACCCGAAACCTCTTCAACGTGTCAGACGCCAAGCTTCACTGGCAGTCGGAAGCTGCCTACGTCTGCGTCAAGGTCGACCGCCACTCCAAGTCCAAAAAGTCTCTCGCCACCAACTTGGAAATCTTCCGTGTCCGCGAAAAGGGTGTGCCTGTTGAGGTCGTTGACTCCATCAAGGACACTGTCATCAATTTCGCCTGGGAGCCCAAGGGCAACCGCTTCGTGCTCATTACCACTGGCGAAGTCATCCAGGGCGCCGCTGTTGGCCCCAAGACTGCCGTCTCTTTCTTCGCTCCCGAGAAGCTCAAGGGTGGCGCGCCAGGCAACTTCCGTCACATCCGAACCATCGACAAGAAGAACAGCAATGCCATCTACTGGTCGCCCAAGGGACGATTCGTCGTTGTCGCTGCTCTACAGTCGCAGCAGTCATTCGAACTCGAATTCTGGGACATGAGCTTCGACAGGCCAAAGGAGGAGTCCGAAAAGGGCGACAAGGAAGTCAATGCCAACTTGCAGCTCATGGATACGGCCGAGCACTACGGCGTCACCGACATTGAGTGGGACCCGACTGGCCGCTATGTCGCCACAGTCGCTAGTGCCTTCCGTCATCGCGTATGTATCATCATCACCATTATGCTCTTTTGTCTCTGCTGACACGCACTAGATGGAGAACGGTTACCACCTCTACGACTTCAAAGGCACGCTGCTCCGCGAAGAAGCCATCGAAGGCTTCAAGCAGCTCCTGTGGCGCCCACGGCCCCCGACCCTCCTCTCCAAGGAGGAACAAGCCGAGATCCGCAAGAATCTGCGCAACTACTCCAAGGTCTTTGATGAACAAGATATTGCGAAGAAGAGCTCCGCCAACAAGGCTGTGGTGGAAGCTCGCCGCGAGATGCTGGATGAGTGGCGCAGGTGGCGCGAAGAAGTTACACAGAGGCTACGCGATGAGGGCGCCGACCTTGAGCTGGCATCTCTCAAAGGTGAGACGCCTGGTCAAGCGGATGATGGACATCAGGAAGAGATTGAAGAAATCGTAGAGGAGATTATCGACGAGACCGAAGAGGTTGTCAATTAGGTGGTCAAATGAGTAGAACCGAGTTGTGTGACAGCAGTTTCAACGAGCATGCTAGCAGCACATTGCTCAGGGCATATGGAATAACGAAGGTTACTAAGCTCACGTCCACTCACATCCGCCTTCTCCAATGTGTCCCTTGAATGGCGTTGCCGGCTTGTTTTTCGAAGATCGATCATGGTGGAATCAGGACTTACTTGCGTTCTACTTCGAGTGCGTGTGATAGTGTAACAATGTGCACACGAAGCTTCAACGCAATGTCAGCAGGAGCTGCAACTTGAAGCAAGGCCTAAGCCGTCGTTTGAGCGTCTGAGCCAGCCTTTGTCTCGCTGATGGTCCGCAGCTCGGGCGTCGCTCTTTGCTTTGATGCTATCTGACAGTTTCCCGGCCTTGCCTTTTGAGACAACGTAATGGTAATGTGTACATAGGCGATGCAATCAGTGACCAAGCGATGTCCTTCAATTGAGGCTTGTATTGAGATGAACTTGGGCTGTATTAAGGGTGCTTACGTGAAGGAGTGGGGACCTGCCTCCCGTTAGACATTAGTAATATGTGAGAGAGCGTTGCTGCGATAACATAGGATCTAAGTGACCGCTACACAGACTTAATTTTACAAGCTTGTACACCTTACACAGACGTGCTATGATAATTATAAAAGTTACAAGTATGTTACAGTCTAGCGATTAACCTATGCAATGTACCCAAACTCACTCTAGACTACGGTAATCTAGCTTATTTTCTCTTCCGCTCTTCTAATTTCGCTCTATAATCCTACTCGTGTTAGTACACTCTAAATCTCGCTCACCCTTTAGTCTCTGTGTGCTTACCTGACAGCTAATCCTTAAGCCCTCTTCCAAGCCGACTCGAGGCTTATATCCTAGCAGTAACCTCGCCTTCGAAATACTAACATAGCGGTCCCGACATCCGTCACTCACAATGCCCCGACTAAGCACACCCTCCGTCCCTGTCACCCAGCTAATCCATTCGGCACAATAGCCCAGACACCATGTCAATCCTTCTGGAACCCGGACGTGGAACTTTGGAACATGGCCGAACTCCTTCCACACAGCTATGCAAAGGTCCCTCGCCGTGACCGGCTCGCCGTTGGTAATGAAGATGGCCTCTCCAGCAGCTGTTTGCGAATTTAACAAGTTTCCAACGGCGAGGACATGGGCGTCTGCTATGTTTTCTACGTAGACGAAGTCCTGGAGATTGGTCCCTGTGCCTAGAATAAAGGGTGTCTGGCCGGCTGGGATGCATGAGTGTATCGTAGGGATGCACACAGTGTCGTTGCGACCGAAGATGGGTGCTGAGCGCAGGGCGCAGGTGGCGAAGTCATTCGTATTTGCGGAGAGCACAAGGGATTCAGCGAGTGCCTGCTATGCATGAGTTGATTATACAGTACGGAGGTGTAGTGTGCGGTGTCGTGGCTAGAGCAGTACAGGGAGGTTTCATACAAATTGGAGGAAGAGCAACGGTGAATCGGCAGTATTCTCTGCACATAGGAAAGAGAACATGAATAGAGTAAAACTTTGTTACCTTGCTTTGTCCATAGCTCGTATGTACACCTCCCGTGGGCCAATGCTCATCTACATTCCTGAAGTCGCGATCCAACTCGTCCAACACGACAGTCACGCTACTGGTATACACAAAGGCTTTTGTACCGCACTCCCTACTTGCTTCGACAACATTCCTTGTTCCCTCGACGTTTGTCCTGAAGATGGCCTCTTTGCCCTTCATGGAATAGCGCTTCGTCCCCAGAGGGAACACACCCACTGTGTGAATGACGACGGCAGGTCGAGCTTCGGAAAAGACGCTGTACAAGGAATATGGGTCCAGAATGTCGCAACGAACATAGCGTACAGTGTTGGTAAAGGTGGTGCTACCGAGCGAAGGCGGGTTAACGTCTATGACGGTGATGGCGTATCTTCGGGTGCTCAAGAGTGCGGAGACGACGGCGGTGCCCAGGAAGCCACAGCCACCCGTTACCAGAACGCGTGTTGGCTCCATTATAGCGCATGGAAATTATCGCGGATGTTATTGCATAGAACTTGGTATGTTGTGGTTGCGCGCCGTAGGCGTTGGCGGTCGACGTCGCGGTGGACCTCGGGAAGAGCAGGATACATGATAGAAGCGGGTCGCGTCCGAGGATCGCCGCGCTTTCCCGCTTCGCAGCAAACGCTTGTAATGCCAAACGTGCATTATCGTTGCATAGCAAATATACACGTCTGGTATATTATAATTAATTGTACGTCATGCCGGGCAATTTTTAAGCGATGCGAAAGTCTGCAGTTTGTCGCTGGTGTTACACTGCCGCCAAATCAACTTTCCTATAACGTGGACTGAGCAGACAGAGGTTGATAACAGCTATATCAAGCGCAGCTCGACGTCCATTTTACGCAGGTGTGCATTTGTTGTAGTGCAAGAATTCTAGTGAGTTGGCTTTTACAGCTTTGAATACCGCCTGTGCAATCTCTGATTGATTTGCGATGCAGGAACAACATCGATCACCAAACAAAAATATTGCTTGATTGCCGGCGCCATGAGAGTCAACGAAAGCGAAGGCATGTAGTGAAAAGATCTGAACCCATGCTACGAGGCTAATTTTATCTAGCCATCTTGACACCTCGTCTGATCCTTGTGCCTTATAGCTTGCACCATGTCCCCACATACCGCGAATGGATGCAAGATGAGGTAAGGCCTACCCAGCCTCCTATCTCTCCTAATATACGGCTGATTAGTGTGTAGGAATTGCAAACGCTTACAGCTTCTGAGCCGCTGACGCTTTCGGAGGAGTACGCTATGCAGTCCTCGTGGCGACGGGATGCAGATAAGTTGACTTTCATCATCTGCACTTCGCCACACACACCGCAAGCACTGTCGGATGTCTCTATACCTATTAGAGTCATTGGCAAGATAGACGACACGCCCAATCGTATGATTGGGGATGTGAACCTGTTTTTGTACCCGTCCGAGGACTGTAACGATGGCGCAGGGGAACAAGGCAAACACGAGACTGGGGAGATGGACGCGGTGGGCGAGTTGGAGATAATGATTGCCCGGCCTGACGCACGAGGAAAAGGGCTAGCAAAAGAAGCCCTCCAGGCGTTCATCTGGTACATATCTACCTCGCTGCCAGCCATCCTGGACGAGTACGCGAAGGGAGCCAACAACAAAGACAAGCCCAAGTCTCTGAGCTACCTCCGTGTCAGAATCGACAAGGACAACATCCCGAGCCTCAGTCTGTTCAAAACGTTGGGCTTCAGCCAAGTTAGCGAACCTAATTACTTTGGGGAAGTGGAGCTACGGTCAGAGGTTGCAAGGCACGGGATAGACAAAGCTTGTTTGTTGGCAAAAAGCGTCTCGTACGAAGACTGATGAACAAACATGTCTGAGATGAGTAAATCCAAAATAGGAGATTGCATGACACGACGCAAAGAAATGTCATTGTTGAAAGCACCTGGCAATGTACACGATATAAAACACACGCTTCCGCTACCGGGTCTCCTGAAGCGCGCAAATACAGACCCCCTCTCCGTCTATTGGTTCGTCTTGCCGGAAGTGTTTGGCTTGGGGACGTGGTCGAGAATGCTCTTGTTTGGCGGTGGCTGGTAGACGATCTTCCTCGTCTTCAGCGGGGCCCACTTGTACCTGTCGTGGCTGTTAGTCATGTGGGTAAAGTGGCGGAGCTGCAAATACTTGCCTCTTGACCCAGACACTGAGGGCGAACAGAACACTGGTGACGGCAAGAACCTTCCAGCCCATCTTCTTACGGTCGTCCATCTCGGGCTCGGCGGTCCAGTTGAGGAACTCGACGACGTCCTTGGCCATCTGCGAAGTCGAAGCCTTGGTGCCATCATCGTATTCAACCAAGTCGTCGTACAGCACACGGGCCATGGCGATTCCAGTGCCGGGGAAGTAGGGGTTGAAGTTGAGGCCTTCCTGGACAACGGCACCAGCAGGCGGCTCCTCGGGGTAGCCGGTCAGCAAGCTGAAGATGTAGTTGCAGCCGCCGTGGCGGGCCTTGACCATGAGGGATAGATCCGGAGGCAGGGCACCGTTGTTGGCAGCGCGGGCGGCCTCGTCGTTCTTGTAGGGAGCGGGCATGTAGTCGGACAGCTTTCCGGGGCGCTTCTCGATTTCGCCCTGGTCGTTGGGCTCTGTGTCGTATTCGTTCTCCTCGGCCAGGGCCTTGGCCTCGTCAACCGTCATGAACTTGCCGACGACGGCGCGGTAGGGCACACGCGAGATGGAGTGGCACGAGGCGCAGACCTCGCGGTAGACCTGGAAGCCGCGGCGGAGACTGTGACAGGTTAGGGGGCGGGCATGTGCGGTGCGGTGGGGAAGACGTACGCTCCGTGGTCGAAGGTCTTGTGCCACTTCTCGTGCTCCCACGGGTATTGGGTCGGGTGGAGGCTGTACGGGCACGACGTCAGTACATGGCCGCGGGCCGGGCTATCTGGGGCGCACTCACCCTTCTTCGGCGGGGGTCATGGCATCGACGTGGCGTCCGTAGAGGTGCCAGTACCAGGCAGTCGAGCCGACGGCGAAGAGAGTCGCTCCGGCGGGCAGGGCGTTGTTCTTCCAGGCCGAGGCGGCGCTGTCGGCGGAGGACCATGTCGAGGCGAAGCGCTGTATCACGCACTGGGTCAGCCAGATGATTCAATGGAAGCGGGGGCTGGCCCGAGTATGGCAGCCGGGCCAGCAGGGCGGCGACGCAGCTTGCGCCAGCTGCCGGGAGATGCTGGGCCATGCGGGAGGCGTACCGGTTTGCTCGAGGCATTGCGGGCGGCGGCGGCGGCGGAGCGTGCCGTGCGCAGTGGTGAGCGAGCCAACATGGTCGTGGGAAGCTGGCTCGGGGCTGGGGGAGACGCGAGCAATGGGGTTGTCGGCGATGGTGATGCGGCGGAGAACTGGTGCGAGACCATTTTCCAATTTCCAAGCTAACTAATCCACATCACGTGCGCTATCATTGGACGAGGCTGCCATGACGCCTCCGGACTGTATTTTGCTCTCGCACATCGCCTTGCATGCGAACGCGAGTGTACTCGAGAGGTGCAGGCTGCGACTGGCAGTGCGGCATCACATGGCATGGCAGGCAGTGCAGAGGGTCCCGCGTGGAAGAGACTTCGTCCGTGATACGCAGCAATGTAGCCCTACTTCTATACCCTTTCGCTCATGCAGGAATTGCAAAAGGGCTCAAACGAGGGCTGCTTCTCTCTAGCAAGACTGGCAGTGCCGGGGCAGTGCCAGAACACACGGCGTCCCCAGGAGCGGGAGACGTCGTCGAGCTTCTTGCGTGGTGCCGGAACGCAACGCGACGTCGGCCTGGCTTATATAGTGGACACGGCCCCGATGCGAGCTAGGCTGCATCTGGCCGCGAAGAGAGCGCTGGAGGACGTCGAGCTCTCGCGGCGCAGGGGACAGGTCGCGACACAGCACACGAGAAGCCAGATGCACCGCTTCACCTACCATGGACGTCTTCTGGCCGCTCCCAGCCGCCGACTGAAGCCACGGCGGACGCTACTGCACACGCTCACACCGAACGCGCGACTCTCTCCTCCCCCCACCAACAGCCCTCGCCCGGTCCCTCGTCCCCCACCACCCTCCCGTCACCCTGCCCTTGTCCCCGCAAGGCACTGTTCCCACCGACGAAATATGTGCAAGCACTTCGGCGCAGAGGGCCACGCGTCCATCGACATCACCAAGGGTCGCGAGGTGCTGCCCGCCAACGTCAAGCCCGTCCACTACGACCTGACACTCGAGCCCGACTTTGCCAACTTCACCTACCAGGGCACCGTCACCATCGAGTACGTGCCCGTCCGCCCGTGTGGGGAGGGCCCTGCTGACACTCGGCCAGTCTAGATGTCGTCGACGACACCACGTCCATTGCCCTCAACACCAACGAGCTCAAGATCCACTCGACCAAGGTCACGGCCGGCCAGCAAGTCATTACCGAGTCGCCCCATGTCGCCACCGACGACGATGCGCAGACGACCACGGTCAGCTTCGACCAGACCATTCCGGGCGGTAGCCAGGCGAAGCTCACCATGGCCTTCGCCGGAGTGCTGAACGACAACATGGCCGGCTTCTACCGCTCCTCCTTCAAGGCTGCCGACGGCTCCACCACATACATGGCCACGACGCAGATGGAGCCCACAGATGCCAGGCGGGCGTTTCCTTGCTTCGACGAGCCCGCGCTCAAGGCCAAATTCACCGTCACCCTCATCGCCGATGAGAAGATGACCTGTCTCAGCAACATGGACGTAGCGTCGGAGAAACCGATCCAAAGCACCATCTCGGGCGGAAGGCGCAAGGCCGTCACCTTCAGCCCGACGCCTCTCATGTCGACCTACCTCCTATGCTTCATTGTCGGTGAGCTCAACTACATCGAGACAAACAACTTCCGCGTCCCTGTGCGAGTCTATGCGCCAAAGGATCGGGACATTGAGCACGGCCGCTTTTCGCTCGAGCTGGCGGCAAAGACGCTGGCATTCTACGAAAAAACCTTTGACAGTCCCTTCCCGCTGCCCAAAATGGACATGGTCGCGATTCCCGACTTCAGTGCAGGTGCCATGGAAAACTGGGGCCTCGTCACATATCGTGTCGTCGACGTGCTCATTGACGAAAAGGTCAGCGGGGCAGCTACCAAGCAGCGCGTCGCCGAGACGGTGCAGCACGAGCTTGCCCACCAGTGGTTTGGTAATCTCGTGACCATGGACTTCTGGGACGGCTTGTGGCTTAATGAAGGATTTGCAACGTGGATGTCGTGGTATTCCTGCAATGTCTTCTACCCTGACTGGAAAGTCTGGGAAGGCTATGTTACAGACAATCTAGCCAGCGCACTCTCGCTCGACTCGCTACGAAGCAGCCATCCCATCGAGGTACCGGTAAAGCGCGCAGACGAGATAAACCAGATCTTCGATGCCATCTCATACTCCAAGGGCTCGAGTGTCATCCGCATGATCTCCAAATATGTCGGAGAGGACACCTTCATGGAAGGAATCCGC